CCCCCCCCCCCCCCCCCCCCCCCAACATCAACGAAAACACAGGAACGGGTTAGAAAGGAGGGGAAAACAAAGACGATAGAGCTGCGCACACAGACACACTGAACTGGACTGCAGTTTGTTTTCAAAAACATTGATTATAAACTGGATAAGTTAGTGGCTGTAATGTCCAGGCACAAGTGTGTAGGATTGGGTGGCATCTGGCGCTGTGTTTGCAGTCGACGGCGGATGGCATTACCACGGTTTGGCAATCTGTTGCTCAAGTTACCGTACTTTCACAAGCGTGTTGGAGAACTACGGTGGCCTTCAGGTAACGGGAAAATGCAAAATGCGAAAGGGTCTCTCTAGAGCCAGTGTTTGGTTTGTCCGTTCTGGGCTACCGTAGAAACACAGCGGACTCCGAGAAGAGGACCCGCTCCCCATATGAAGGACTCATTACATGCAAACAAAAACACGATTCTTGGTTTCAGGTCATTAATGAAAACAGTTATTTCATATTTCTACTAATAGATCCGACTGAATCCTACACGCTGTGCCTTTTAAAGATATTCTATGACAATATAAAGACGGGTCAGAGTGGTGAGCGTAGGGCTACATTGTGGGTTGTTTGTCGTGTCTCTGGAGTGTATCAGCCCTAAGAGTTTATAGTTGGTTCAGTTTAACCAAATTTAAAGTCAGAATTGTATTTAGAAGTTTTTAAAGTGGAAAGAGACCGAATTATCGGTCAAACTGCTGATTGTTTCACAAATGACGAGGACCATAAAAACAAAAGCGCCACAAATATTGAATTAACAATCATCTGCATTAATGGTTTTATTTCATGCTTCAGAGAACATTTCATTTCTTCGTGTTCGGTTTGTGTTTGTTGGTTTAAAAGAGAAAAAAAAAAGTATTTTTCCGTACGACTTCTTCTTTTGTTCCGTCTGCTCGTTTTCTCTGTTCAGTAAAAGTGAACAAAGAAAACAGTGAAAAGACTAACGTGGTCCATCAAAAAACCCAACGCTACCTCTCTTCCAGAACCTACAGCCGGATGCCCCACTTCACCTGAGTCCTTGCCGGAGAGGATCCGCTCGTTAGGTATGGAAGACAAAGAACAAGAGGACCTGTGTGTTGGATCTTTGCCCCAGCAACGAACTAAAATCCAGGAACCACGAAACAGAGTGAAGCCAGAGGACGAACCACAGAGATTGAGACCTCCAGATTGATCCGGATTACACCCAGAATTGGACTACCAGCTTCACCCCGCCTCTCTTCAAACACACACACACATCTGTTTTGGCTCATTAGACTGTAATGACTGCTTGTACATCATTCCTACACAAAGACGAACGGTGGTCTTAGTTGAGACCCTTTCAGGTTTCCAGGTCCATGCTTAGAGGCTCAGAAGAGTCCAAACCAGCTGCTGATTAAACTGACGGGATGCCGACTGCTGCCTCACATTTCTCTGTCAGATCAAAACTTAGTAGCTCGCTTCCACACGATACAGATCGCCACAGTACACCACACAACATTTCATCATTTAATCCTTAATAACAAAGGTTGCTAATCCTGCTAGTCACTGTTTTCAATAGAAAGGATTTCCTTTAAGGTTTATATTTCACAGAGTGGGTAGAATACGCTTTGGAGCAAACTGCTTTAGTTTCCGTTGCGTTTGTCTGTAACTAAACGTAGCGTAGCTACACCGCGGGCTCAACCGACGAAGTTACAGCTTCGTGTGGAATGATTGAACCTTGCTGAGCCAAATATCTTATTATTCTCTTACAAGCCTCAGCAAATGAAATGTTCCGCATCTACGTCGCAGAAAACAATTTTATCGAGCCAAAATCGTCCTTTTCCTAATTATTTCACTAAGAATTGGAAACTGGAAAGTCAGAGATCAATGTGAACATTAAATACTGATTCACACTGAAGAACAGGGGCGTAATGTGTACTTAAAATCTAATTTGATTTATTTGAAGCATTATATGGTGGAAATAAATCATGAAATAAAATGGAAACACGTTTTATTTTGATCAAGTGGAGCCTTCAGTCTCATTTTGTTATTTTAGCAAAATATCTTTCAACACCACGGAGAGCTGAAGCAATGTTGTTCACATCGGAATCAGTTTCACAGTTAGCTTGCTAACCGAGAGAACGTTTATGTTACTCACGTGACCGTAAAGACTGAAATCTGACGAGTGAGAATGTCAGTGACAACCTTTTTTAATATAGTTAATTTCTCTCACTCTTTGGGGTGTTCATGTCTCGGTGGCTGAATGTAGTCTTATGGAAGCCCCTTGATAATAGATTAACTTCAAAACTAATTTAGAAAAAAATCCAGCATGCTGAATCTAAAATGGTACACTTTACATTAAGTTCTCTAGTTTTTCTTACCCGTCATTTAACGTAAAAAAAATAAATAAAAAGGACTATTTTTAAATATCCCATGAATCTCTAATTCCGGCCATTTTTTAAATCTTCATCGTCACATCCATCAAGGAAACCAAATGTGTTAACCATATCGACCTGCTGTAAAAAGTGATATTAAAAATATTAACTACCGACTAAATATTTGCATTGATTAACGTGAAGGCTAAAATGAAGCGATAATCTAGCAACACATGTCAGAATGTTCTGGTATTAACTCTTGAGGTGTATTCAAATTTTAAATTGCCATTTCTGCTTTACTTTGCAATTTTGAGCAACAGCTTGTTCTGCTACAAACATTGTTTAAATAAAGTTGTGGAAACGCATTTAGAAAATTCGCGTGGTCGGGCTACCTAGCTACCTAGCCTAGCATCAGCTGTTATACGCGTTAGCAAAGAGCTGGTTAGCTAACTGCTAATGCTACTGATCTCCATTTAAACTGCGTCATTGCCTCATTTAGCGACCAGATTGGGACTTCTTCGACTCTGCCAAAAACTCAAAATAATACATTTAGAAATAAAACCACCGGTAAAACTGACGCTCGTATAACATTTTAGAAATGACTAGTTACAGCATAACCGACACATTTATCATACGATGATTGGCATCTTTATCTGGCGGGCTATTACGTTGCTGTATGTTCGTTGATTTATTGTTGATTAAGTTTACGTTACTAATGTTTGTTAAGTAAACCCAACAACAAACTAACAGATTGTGATATTGTCCTCTGAAATTTCACAACTTGATATTATATTTGTGTGACTGCAGTGAAATGTAGAAAGCAGCATTTACTGATGTGTTTGATGATGAAAATGTAATCTGGTTGAATCGCATAGCGGCTTCTTTATGCTCTGCCCATTTGGATTTAGTGGAAATATTTGACTTTAAAAAAAAAATGATAAAATCAGCATGAATATTTAACGTTTGATGACTTTTTCTTTAATCCGAACATTCTGATCACCTGGAAGCTTCTTCTAAATGTCTGTGTGAAGATTCAACGCGACCCATTTAAAAGTATTTTACAGTATTAAATACATGCGTGATCGAGTCAGTATTGTGAACACCGGTTATGATTACAGTAATATAATAGAGCAGTGGCACTGCAGTAAATGTCCCAATAGTCACCAAGTAATTGTTAATAATAACTTTTTGTTTAAAGCCACAGAAATCCTGTTCCACTGAACGAGGTTGTGGCGTGTGAAGAAACTCTCCACCTGATTGGCTGATCGGACTCGTTAGTAGATGACGTAGTTACTGCGTTTTCCATCAGAAAGAAAACAACATCTCACTTCTGGTTTCATCGGTCAAAGTTAAACATCTGTATTTATAAATTACATCTCACAATTTTATAAATTAACTTCTTGCTTACATGATTTACATTATTTTACAATGTTGATTTTTCACACTTTAAATTAGACCAGCGGAGTCCTTGTGTCCTGTTGGAGATGGAACATCATCGTCATCGTCATCAGTCTCTACTTAGCAGAGAGTTTATGTTGAATGTTTCTGTATCTCAGCAGCTCCATGTCGGAAACGGACGGCTTGAAGTTTTCTAACGCTGAAGAGAAATCCTCAACGGAGACCAGGACCGGAGAGTCCTCCGAGTCCAGACCTGAGAGAGACAGAGGGAGGGAGGGAGAGACAGACAGGTGGTGGAGAGACAGAGAGATCCATTATGCACTACGCCCATTATTTGTAGCTTTGTATTGTGTTTTTTCTTGTTTTTACTCTGTACCGTTTGTTATTGTGTTCTCTTTGTTTTTACCTGGAATACAGATGTGAATTAATTTAACGCTACAATCTGGAACGATGCATCACATGGTGACATTCATGTCTTAAACTGCACATGGTCCATTTTAAATAAAAATAAACATTCTAACACAGAATAAATAGGAGAGGAAGTGTCCGAGCTCTGCAGCCTGTGTGTTTAAAATGTTAAAAGTCCACTTCCTGTTGTGTTTTCCTACCGTCGTCGATGAGAGAGATCTTCCTCTTGATGGCGGCCGTCATAGCGTCCGAACAGAGAGCGTACAGGTCGGCGCCGGTCATGTGATCGGGGCAGCGATCCACCACCTGCTGCAGGTCCACAGACGAGTCCATCTGGAACCTGAACACAACACTTATTTACATTTAGGACACACAAACACTCAAACATCCTGTGTTGACAATCTACGGAAACACACAGAGAGTCGTCTCTCTAAACACATTATATTCTCTGTGCATGTAGGGAGGTTTTTATTACGAATTTTATTCCCATGTCTTCTAATACACTATGTGCAAATTCTGGCCTCTGTATGTGCATGCACTTTATTCCAGCAGGGGGAGCTCTTCTTACTTTCTGAGGATTGCCTGGAGAACCTGCAGCTGAGAGGCTCGGTCCTCGTTGATTCCAACGTAGACCAGTTTATCAAACCTGAAGACGACACAACATCCACAAGAGACCAGGAGCCAGTTTAACATTTACAGATGTGGATCAGAGAGGTTCATCTGTCGTATGTGTTTATAATTAGTCTTCGTAGGTAAAATATGATGAAATATGACAGATGATGCGTCTCGGTTCAACAGGACTCTTGTATCATTAATGTGGAAAACAACAAAATGTAATTCTGAGGTTTATGGAAAAGTGCATGAACAGTAAAAATATATTTTGTTATTTTCCTTTAGGAGCGACTAAAGTTTCCTGGGCTATATTAAATATTATACAAAGATTAAAGGATTTATTAAACAGTAAAAGCAATACAGAGTGTTGTTGTATCCACATGATAACAGTGGTACAGGATGGTGTGTGTGTGTGTGCGTGCGCGCTGACCTGCCGGGCCTCAGCAGAGATTGGTCCAGCAGGTCCGGACGGTTCGTGGCTCCGATCACAAAAACTCCGACAGCCGATTGCAAAGCGTCGAGCTCGGCCAGCAGCTGAGACACGACTCTGTGCGGACAGATTCAATCAAACTGACTACGAGCCTTTCCCACCTGAATGAAGATGTTCGATGACCATGTCAGGTTGTTTTTGATTGCCAGGAACTTAAAACTGTACGCTTGCTCCACCTCAGCGCCATTGATGTACTAAGTACTGTGGATATTAAAGCCCAAAGTTCATCCGGACAGTTGGAGCCTACTCGCATAATTGGTTGAGGTAAACACTCACCTGTCCATCACCCCTCCAGAGTCTCCACTGCGCCCCCTGCTGGGAGCCAGAGAGTCCAGCTCATCAAAGAAGACGACGCACGGAGCCGCTGAGCGCGCTCTGCAGAACACTGAACACAACAAACACACACTGACGTTCACTGATGTCAGATATCAGGTTGAAATACACCGGAATGATCCTTCAGGGTGAAACAGACCTTCTCTAATGTTCTCTTCACTCTGACCCACGTACATGTTGATGAGCTCTGGACCTTTAACGCTGAAACACAAAACGGGTTCAAGGAGTTGAAAGTCACATGTGATAAAATGTCACCGGAGCATTTTGAGCAACTTGTTCTCTGGCTGCTCCTCCAGTCAACATGTACAAAGTAAACAGAGTACAATTCCCATGACGCAGAGTCACAGCTTAAACAAGTTAGAAGTAGACTTGAGTAAATAGAAGAGAAGACTCTGTGGGTTGGTGTTGAGCTGCTGCCGTCTTTAAAGCGATGCTCATACCTGCAGCAGCGAGATAAAGCGACGACCTGGATGAGTGTTATGTGGCTCATTGCTCCGTGTTATTTTGGATGCCTGCTTGTTCCTAACCGAGGAAGGTGAAGATGTTTCTACCTAAGGAAGGTGAAGGTGTTCCTAGCTGAGGAAGGTGAAGGTGTTCCTACCTGAGGAAGGTCATGGAGCACTCGGTAGCCACAGCTTTGGCCAGCAGAGTCTTCCCTGTTCCTGGCGGTCCGTACAGCAGGACTCCGGTCCGGTTCAGACCCAGAGACAGGAGCTCTGGACGCTGCAGAGGAAGCTGAACTGTGTCCAGGATCTCTTTCTTCACCTGCTGCAGACCTCCAACATCCTCCCAACACACATCAGGGATCTGTTCACACACAGAGTTCAACCAGTAGCTGAGTCAGACTCACAGAGGCCACAAACACCAGCAGCATCTTATGCTTTGTTTGCTTTGTTTTTACTCAAATGTAGATTTTTAACCCCTCCGGTTTCTAAAGCATCCAAAACATCTTTGTAAATTCATCAGACGTGTCGATGGTACTTTTATCAGTTAACTATTCAGTTTTTAATGACACAATAGTTCATTTTTGGTCACTAGACGGCAGACGACGTCACATAAACAGTTCACAAAAAAAAGCTTGTTGAGTGTTCACCTTGGGGGCTCCGATGGACATGGACTGGGCATCCTGCAGGGTCTTCAGGGCGGAGCAGAAGTCCTGGTTCAGGATGGTCACTCCACTGGCGCACAGATCCTCCTCCTGCCGGCCACCACTGCGCACGCACACGCACAACAGGAGGACACCATTTGAGTGCCCTTTATACACCCCCATCCACCACCATGTGTTTCTAAATCCAGTTTCTGCTCTGAACTCTAAACACAAGTTAGACCACTAAAACCAGGATCATTGAAGGTGATGTCCACCCAGCCTTTATTCTACCACTACAGCCTCGCCCACCACCGGTTATCTTTAGTCTCACCAGCTGTGGATCAGCCTCCTGCAGGCAGCTCGACCGGCCTCAACCAGCAGAGCGCTCAGATCCCCCAACACAAACCCCTGAGGAGGAAGAGGAGGAGGAATCATTAATGAACACACTCACTGACAGCGTATCCTTTAGCCACGTCTCCTGTGTTACAGTGTTTATTTTAGTCTAAACATGCAGACTTGCATTAAAAAAAAACACATAACGGACGAGGTCAGTTCACCTGCTGATCACAACAGATCACATGTAATAAAACAAATTGATGTTTGCCACAAACTTGATTGCGGCTGTTTTAGCTGCAGGGATCAAACACTTCGTCTCTGAAGCCGAGTTCATTTTATTTATATCACCAAATATCAGAAAACACAAATTTCCCTCAAGAAGGTTTGCTGTATTGATAGAAATGAAATAAAACCAACAACACATCTGAGCTCCGTTGTGCTACAGGATGTCCACATAAACCAGCTGTCGTCCGCTGAGCTTTGAGTCACTTCAACACACTTAAGAGTCTGACCGGGCACCGTTACTGGATAATACACATCGCACAAATCATCAGAACTCAACAGCAGAAAGAATCTGATGCAGAGTACTTCCGTAGGCTCGGCTGTGCAACTGGTCTGTACTGGTTCTTACTGGTCTGGGTCTTGTGACGTACCGCAGTGTGCTTGGAGAGACTCTCCAGGTTGACGTCTCTCCCCAGGTGAAGGTCTCGGCTCAGGCTGACCAGCATGGAGCGCCGCTGCTCCTCGGTGGGACTCTCTAACGCCACCTGGTGGATAAACGCCGCCATGACGCCTGCAGACAGCTCCCGAGGTCTGCAGACCGTCGCCACCACCACCACACTGAAAGACCACAAGCACGTTAGCTTTCCTCTGAGCTGTGACTCACTCTGAACGGCTGTCAGACCTCATCACAATACTAAAGCTCATTCACAGCCTCAATTTGACTTCCATTCAAACCAATAATTAACTCAGATATATTTAATTACTCAGTGACCTGGTGGAGGCGCTGTGGAGCAACTGGCAGAGTGCGGCCTGGACTCTGCCGTCCTCCTTGGCGTCGCCTCGAGATCTGAGCAGGAGCTGCAGGTTCCTGAGCAGCAGGACGCAGGGCTGCAGGGCCTCGGCCCGCTGAAACACCGACGCCAGCTTCACCTCCGAGGCTGCAGGGGTGTCAGCACACACACTCACGCAGTCCACCTGCACACAGGTAACAACAGGAAGCGTCACTGTAACAACGCATAACAGCAGCTACAAACACACACTGTGTCAGAGCTCAGCTGTCGTACCTTCAGCAGGTAGAAGAAGACAAGGAAGTGGAAGCAGCAGAAGAAGAAAATACAGACAAAGCAGAAGAAGCAGAAGAAGAAATCGTACCTTCAGCAGGTGGAGGTTCAGTCTGCGACTCGCCGCGCTGACCGCTGTCATTTTACCACTTCCTGCAGGGCCGTGTAGGAGGACGGTGCAGCCAGACAAAGAGCTGCTACAACCACACAAAAACAGCGACATCACTGATCACATGACCACACGTCGCATCATGCTTCTCTCTATCACACGTCCGGTCGGAGCCGCCAGCGGACAGGCGAGTTACCTGTGGTGCAGGTGTGGGAGGACGATGCTGCTGAGGAGCTCCACGGTCTTGACGAGGCCCGGAGGAGACAGGCTGCTCCACAGAGACGAAGCCTCCACAGAGAGGCAGGGGACGGGGCTGCTGGTGGACGCTCGCTGGACACACACACACAGATACATCCAGGGAGTCAGCTGTCAGAGACACACACTCTGATACACACCGATAAACGTCAGAGGTCAAATGTCACCATGTAGAGGGAAGTGTGCAGTCTGTCAGCCAGGTGATCTCCTCCTCCATCTTCTTCTTCCTCTTCTTCTCTCTCTGTCGACGGACACACCTTCTGCACTCTGAAGAACAGCACTGGACACCTGACAGAGGTCATTCACAGTTAAGGAGAATTAAAAAACACACACACACACACACACACACACACACACACACACAACGTGTTTGTGGACGGATGTGTTGTACCTGTGTATTCCCTCTGAATTGTTCACCAGCAGGTCTGGATGGTTTTCAGCTGGAACTGTCAGGATGTCTCCCTGTGAAACCAGTCTGCACCGAGTGCAAAGACACACTGGTTAGACTGGGAGTCTGACTATATATAAATATATATAAATCCAGACAACGTAGTAATTCTAAGCAGGATTTGAATCTGTAGCGTGTCCACACAGGAAATAAAAAGTTCAGTGAACACTTGTCAAGATGCACACTACATGCAGTTAGTATGCGGCAGGACTCGGGCCGACCTGGGCATACTGAAGTGTTCAGACAGCAGGTTGTCGTAGCAGCTGAGGTTGTTGTACAGCGGAGACGTGACCGGCTGGATGTGAAGCTCGCTGGCGAACATCGGAGAAGAAGAGCGACTGAAACTGTCCGAGTGACGACTACCAGGCGCCGGAGGAGACGGTGTCCACCTCTGAGACAACAGACACAACCGGTCAGCAAGGAAACAACAAGTTATCATTTCCCACCCCCAGGTCGGCTTCCACTCCTGTGCCGTTTGTGTGTGTTGTGTAGAAGCACCTTCATCCTCAGTGTGCAGCCATTCACAGGGATCACGTCTCCTTCAGTCATGTTGAACCACAGAGTTGCCGATATGAAACCGACTTCATCGTGGTTCTGCAGGTCTGGACTCTGTGTTAAATCCACAACCAGCACAGAGACCTGCCGCTGTCTGCAGACGCCCCCCTTGACATCGGTGTGACCTGCAAGAGGTCTGGAGGACCCGCCCGGCCTCGACAGCTTCACCCACTCCTGGTTAAACAGCCCCAGCCGGAGGAGCAGCTGTTTGCTCACAAACACACAGCTGTCCACGTCCACGGCGGCTCCCTGCTGACATTTGACCCCGAGCCATCGCTGAGTTTCCACCACCCGGACATCCACCCTGCACTCCAGCGCATGCAGGACGCCCGAGAACCCCGAGCCCAGCAGCTTCCTGTTGTCGAGAAGAGAGCGCCCCCCTCCGAGACCGTCGGCGTAATGGGCAAAGTCTGACACGCACAGTCTGAGCGGCCTGCAGGCTGGGGGGGCGCCTGGGGGGTCCGCTGAGTCAAAGCAGTCCGTCAGAACCAGAGAGGTGTCGGCGGTGATCCGTCCCTGTGTTACAGGACTGCACTCTAACACGAGCAGCTCCATCAGCTGCTGCTGCACCTGAAGACACATAGAAGAAGAAGAAGAACATCAAACTGTGGACATTTTATCATTTAAAATCAGAAATAGAGGACAAATGTGATGTTCTTGATGCGAATGCAAACTGATTACTTTTATAGTTTTCCAAGTTTTCACCAAAACTTGCTCTGTTTGACAGGTTTGTCTCAGTTTGCAAGAATCAAACTTAAAATATTCACAGACAGTCATGTGATGAAGTTAAGATACTGACGTGTTGATCGAGTATTAAAGTGTTTACGGTATTCAGCCTGGATATAACCTGTTCCGTGGTCTCACCTGTCCCGGGTCCTCTCCCAGCAGCGGGTGTCGGGGCAGCAGCAGCGGGTCTCCCTGCCGGGCCAGCAGCCACTGTCCCGGGCGGCAGAGCTCCAGCAGCCCGCTGGTAAACTGCTCGGCTCCGGCCCAGTGGAGGCTCTGTCTGCTGCGGGCTCCCAGCACCACTCTATCCAGGGGGATCGGCTCCAGAGCCCGGACGGTCCCTGTGCTGCCGAGGAGCCTCTGGAAGCCGTGGTGCCGCAGGAAGAAGCGGCTGGTGAAGATCCGGACTTGGACCCAGCTCCCGGACTCTGCTCTGGGGGAGTTTCCTCCTCCGTAGCCCGAGATTTCCTCCTCAGTGGTCGGGTGGACGCGCAGCAAAATGCCCGGCCTTCCGGAGCCCTGAGGCCGCTGCGGGATGAAGAGGGCGGTCGGTGGGTCGGTGTCATTCTGGAAAACCGAGTCCAGTTGAGTTTGTAGAATCAGAACATCCAGAGGACTCAGATGTGAAGGGAAACTTTCCAAACAACACAACTCCACCTGCGCCGCCATCTTGGACCTGCGTCATTTCCGCTTCTTCTTCACAGTTTCCTGCGTGATCATCGCCACCTGGTGGATGACCGGAAGAACTACATATAATACTAACACTACTGCTATTACTGCTACTGCTACTAGTGCTAACAGTAATAATACTAATATAACAATATTTGTCATAATATTAGTTATTTTATTTATTTCCATAGACTGATATTTGACAGCTGTTACACAATAGTGACTTTATAAAATACCCGTTGCTGATATTAGATAGATGGCACGGGCCACAACAGACTGGTAGAACATCTGCAACATCTTGCTGCACACGTTGAAGGATCCAAGTTTCCTCAAGAAAAAGAGTCGACTCATCCCCTTCTTGTACACAGCGTTGCCGTTGGCCTTCCAGTTCACTCTATTGTCGATGGAGACACCCAGGTACTTGTACTCCACCATGTCCACATCCTCCCCTAGAACTCTCAGCAGTTGTGGAGTCGTCGTCTTCCTCCTGAAGTAGACCACCATCTCTCCGGTCTTGGCCACGTTCAGAATCAGGTGATTTCTACCGGCCCACTCCACAAAGTCATCCACTACTGCCCTATTAATCCTCCTCCCGTCCGTCCCTTATACACCCGACCACTGCAGAGTCATCAGAGAACTTCTGCAGATGGCATGACTGAGTTGTATTGAAGTCAGTGGTGTACTGGGTGAACAGGAAGGGAGACAGAACAGTTCCCTGTGGAGCTCCAGTACCACTGACCACCGTATCATACAGCACACGGCCCAGTCGGACAAACTGTGGTCTGTCTGTGATTTATATACTGCTGAGTAGCTTAATATATAACAATATAACAATTTATTAGATGATTTTTTTTTATTAACAATTTGAATCTACAAAGTAACTAAAGCTGTCAAATAGTGGAGAAAAAAAGTATACTTTTACTGCACTACATGCCAGAGGGAAATATTTTGAAGTTGCATATAATGGAAATACCCAAGTAAAGAACAAGTACCTCAAAATTGTACTTGAGTTAATGTACTTAATGTTACAATCCACCACTGCAGACATCTGGGGATGCTGCTAAATTTACAACTGCAGCCAACTTCATGAAACACTATTCATGTGTATAACATGATTAAAATGTGACCCCCTAACACAACATCCTGACCTCAACAGTGTTTAGTGAACATTTATTAGTTAGGATGTATATTAGACTATATTTATCAAAAGTGCATTAACACATGAACTTGTTCAACATCTAAATAAGTGCTACTTTAAAGTATTTAAAGAAACTTGAACCTAATAACCTGTAGCCTACTGTAGTGCCTTCCTTTAACTAATGCCATTTAATAAAACACACTGGAGCGGTGCAGACAAACTCATTCCTCAGTACTTGATTTATTTAGAATGAGAATAAATAAAACAATGAACACAGTGGAAGTACTACTTTGATTCAATGTTGTAAAACTACAGAACTACTATATTATACTATATATATTACTATATTATAATACAGCGCTGCTTTCTCTGTGGATCAGAGGGAAAGCAAGACGTATTGCGAGGTAACACAAAAATAATTTTCTTTTTTGGGGCTCAGTAGAAAACACAAAAACTTAAAAACGTCCTTGGGGTGAATAGTAATGTTGAGTGTTGATTGATAAAGCAGCATATGTCTTCCTGTTGGGTCCAATCTAAATTTGGACTGGTGTTCACACTCGCCTGACTGTCTGTGGCGAGTCGAGATGGACCAGATCTGGACTCAAGGCGTTGTGGAAAGTCCGGATCCAGATCAGGTCGGGGTCCCTGGGTTCACTGGAAACCAGTGAGAAAAGAATGACAAGACACCCATCCACATGACCAAGACTTTACTTCACAGCTCAGTGCCCATCGACCCCCCTACAAACACAACATGGGCTCCAACAACCAGCAAACCTATGCACTGTCAGCAGAATCCAAGCAGGTATAACTTCCTCTCATGGTTAACGCCGTTTTTCTCATGCGTTAAAAAACAGGCATGGTGCCAACACATTGGAACAGAAGGTTAAAGACTTTACACTTTGCTTGGCAAGATAAAAAATAAAGATGTCTTTATGGGAAATGATTCTATTATATACAATTCAGAGCATAAAGAAAATAAAAACACCCAGAAAATAGAATGATTAAAGCATGCCCATTGTCACACCATGAGGAGGAGGAGGCGGCGAGCGGCCGAGTGATTTTTTTTGTGTTCACATCCAACTCTTCTTTTAATCCAAGACTATAATGAGTACAGGATATAGTTAGGAATCCATTATCATATTATCATTATTCGGGCATTCAAACCGTTCCAATTTGGTCCTTGTTGTGTGCCTGTTTATCCCAATAGGAAGAGGAGAACTATATCAAATAATTTAAAGGTACAGATTTGTGCACGTTTATTTTTTTCCTTCTACAGATTTAATGTATTTGTGATATACTTCACCATGCAACCAAGCAGGGTACTGTCACTAGAGGAGTAGTATAGCTGTGGACAAGCTGGGAGTACTGAGTAAGGTGAGAGTTTCTGAAACTGGACTTGTTGGAGGCCGTGATTTCTCAGCTCCAGAAACCAGTTAAATCGGGGTTTGACAAGGGAGCAGCAGACATATCCATAGCACCATGGCAGCGACGCTCCTGTATGACAGTCAGTCTAGATTACTGGAAGCCCATGAAGATTGTTCAGTAAGCTGTCTTTGGAACAAAAAAAAAATAAGAGGCCCGTGTACATTAAATGAATTGAAGTAGGTGATTGTAAGATTACAGTCTAATATGGAATCAGGTGAGAACCTTTGAGGCGTAGCTTGTCCGAAGACTGATTATACACAAACATGTCTCAGCTTATGAGTCTCTTTGTATTATCTAGCGGGCACCACCTTCTCCTTGGCATTGGGCTTCCCCTTGGCTGCACCGGCTGGTTTCGGCCTGGTCCTGGCGGGCGTGGTGCCAGAGGAGGTGGCCTCCTGCGAGGCGCTGCGCCGCATGGTCGTTGTAGTCCTGGGCGGTAGCACGGGGACAGTTGGGGCTCGAACCGAGAGGGGCTGCCTGGACGGACATGCTCTCTGAGGGGAAGGGCTGTCAGTCCTGCAGTGATTGGAGCTAAGGCTGCGTCGGGTTCCAAACAGGACTCGCAGGGGCATTCGAGGGCTGCCGGACGGGCCAGCAGATGGACGGGAAAATGAGGAGGAGGACCTGGGTGTGACAGGTTTGGATTTCCGTTGAGTGCTGAGAGTGTTTAGTCCAATTTTCTGATTCCTGTAGAGAGGAGATAAAATTGAAGGTGTTATTTCTTTAAAATTCTACAAAAATATGTAATCAATCTACTGCAAAATCAAAACTTGCATACACTAAACAGGAAGGAACGGAGTCATACCCGTTGGTGAAGGATGATGCTCCTTTGGTAGTGCTGGAGTCTGGCAAGGAGAGAGGAGAAGGAGCAGCAGCAGCAAGCCCCACTGAAGGCCTCTTTATGGGGGTGACAGGCCTGGGGATCCTGCTCCTGCACTCCTTGGAGCCTTGCTCTTCAGTCGGTTTGAGACGGGAGCTCCTCCTGGACTCGTCCAAGGTGTGCGTGTCCTCCTCTGAACCGGTGGTGGACAGAGTTTCAGAAGCCCTCCGACGCTCATCGTCCCCAGAGGACATGGATGACGATGTCCCAGACAGCATCCTCCTCCTCATCCAGCGACCCTGCTGCTTCTGGACCAGCATGCGGGCCAAGTCCAGCTGTCTGGCCCGCTGCTGGAGCCGAGCCCGAGCTGAGAGGGAAGAGGACTGCTCCGAGCCTGAGTCCTCTTCAGAGACGAGTACTGGGATTCGGCTTCGGATCCTGGGTTTCGTGGCAGCCGGTAGTTCTGATCCGGTTGTCTGAAGCTTGACAGCTTCTTCGCTGGATAACGGCTGTTTCTTAGGCTCCTGTGACAGATCTGTGTGTTCATGAACAGGTGACATGGCTTCTGGGACAGGCTCAAAAGACTGGACCAGGACAGTTGACGGACCATTCTCAGTTTTGAGGTGTTTGTCAACTGGTGCGGTTTGTTCTGGCACAGACTCCTCTGGAGACTCTTGTGTCTCTGGTGCTCCCCCCTTCTCATGGGTGTCATCCTCTACAGCCGACGCCTTCATGATGGCCAACACTTCCCGGTCGCTCTCCCTGGCAGAGTGACCGTTGGAAGACATGACATTGAGGTGTGATGTCTCTGCAATGTGGATGAAAGTGCGCTCAACTTTTGTGAAGGGCGGCGATGCGGGAGCGATGGGAGTGGACGGCCTCAGGTCTGACCTGAGAGCGGGGGACAAGCGGCCGGTGTCAGAGGATTCAGGCTGAATCGCCTCCCCGACCAGGAGGCGGTCGGTGCGGAAACTGAGAGCACACGGTGTGGCCAGCTCTCCCTCTAGAACATGATCGGCACCAGAGGGAGACTTACGAGTGTCTCCAGGCGAGAAGAGGACGAGGGTTTTGGAGGCGTCCTCCAGGTCAGGGTCCGCATCGGCAGCTGAGGCGTGCTCCCTTTGGCCCCTCTGGTCCTCGGCCATGAGTGTTGACGGCGCGGCGTCCTGGCTACGCTCAGTGCTCTTCTGACTGGCCTCGCTGTTGGACTCGCTCTTCGTCACGTCGTCGTCCCTTGGCCCCGGAGGTTCTTGGACTTCTTCGTCTGCTGTGGCAAAGCTCCGGCGCTGAGGCAAAGTACCGGTGAGCATGACGGTGAGGAAGTCGGCCCTCTTGGCCTGGAGCTGAGGAAGGATGTGGAAATGCTCCTTCTCGTCGCTCTGGCCCTTTGTACGATAGTCCGGGGATGGCGGTGACGGGTTGCTCTGCTCCGTGGGCGACAACACCTGAAAAAAAACAGAAACAACAGTCTTTATTATTACAACTAAATCTACTGAAAACAAGATGGGACAAAAACATCTCGGAAGGAGTTTACTGATCACAATCCCAATGAACAGAAGGCACTCATCAGCAGCTAATATACCTTTTAGATGAAGGCTGGAATTCAAAAATCTTGTCCATATTTATTTAGAATCGCAATCACACATACACACACACACATCTGTAAGAAAAAGTCAAATGTCCACATGTTGTGCTGTAGGATAGCGTGCAACAGTTTGCAGGTGTCAGC